GGAGGCCGCCCCGTCCTGGCGGGACCCCTGAGGACTGGGGGGGCCCTGTGCCTCCCGCAGCCTCGGAGGCTCTCCATGATGCTGGGGCACAAGGGTCAGTGTCAGGTCGTGCCTCCCTTGGGGTGGCCCTCCCTGGGGGGCGAGGCAAGAGTCTACCCCGGCCTTCTGGGGAGGTCCTCCGAGTGTGTCATTCCCCCATACAACTCGCGAAGAGATTGGGATCTCCTGGGGGTCCCCTCCCTGGAGCAAGGGACCAAGGATAGGGTATCCGTTGTATTTGCAGGGAGCACTGTCAGAGTGAGAGGTGCTTCCCTTTGACTTTGTGCACCATCTCGACTAACAGCGTAGCAGGAGGCTGAAGGTTTCCTTTGTAGTTAGAGGTGATGGTCCAAGTTGTGGCCGCAGGGATGAGAATAGAGGCCTGACGTACAGGCTGCATTTTGAAGAAAGAGCCATAGGATACTTGTAGAGGAGGCTTTATACATTTCTGGATCAAGTTGCTGGGTACTTGAGATGTCCTTTGGACAATTGGAGTCTAAGTATTTTTAATCAAGGTGTTCTGTGGGGCAGCTTTACAGAATAGTATAATGAAATTTCAGGAACTGATATGTCTGAGTTCCAGTAAATGTATAGTATAAAGTCAGCTTGTTCCTGGTATCACCTGATATGATTGTTTTTACATAGAAGACAAAACAATGAAAATGTTTAATGACTGCTGTGGAGAACAGAGCTCTCAGTGTTAGCAAGTGACAAAAAGTCACTGCCCTGTAATGGTTGTGTAGTGGTCTTGGTGAATTGTTTACTTGATGAACTTAATTTGCTTGTTTACCAGAAGCAAAATAATTATAGTGGGTATATATATTTAGGATGAGAGGAAATGGCCTCAAGTTACGCCAGAGAAGGTTTAGATTGGATATTAGGAAAAATGTCTTTACTGAAAGAGTGGTTAAGCATTGGAACAGGCTGCCCAGGGAAGTGGTTGAGTCATCATCCCTGGAAGTATTTAAAAGACATGTAGATGTGGTGCTTAGGGATATGGTTTAGTGGGCATGGCGGTGTTGGGTTGACGGTTGGACTTGATGATCTTAGAGGTCTTTTCCAACCTTAATGATTCTATGATTCTATATCTTAAGGCTTTGAAAGATTCCGCTCTTCATTTGACAGTTTCTAGGCTTAACAGTAAAGATAACTTATTTTGGTGATGTTAGTGGCTTCTTCCTTTACACTTATAATCCTAGTTGAATTAGGCACTGTGTTGAATACCTTATAGGGAACTGTTGGCAGGGAAAGCGCCGGCCGAAGGTGCTAGGGGAATTGGCTGGTACACTATAATGTGCTACCATCCTCTCACTTGTATCATTTAAGCTTAGTGCTGAACAAGCACAAGACTTAGTGTCATGTTTTGCTCAGAGCGCCTCACCTTACCAGTAGAGTTGTTGGTCACTGTATATTTGCTAGCACTTTCAGGCTGTCTTACAAGCTGTTATATGCTAATGCTTTTGCAGTTGGAGGAGGCATTGTTGTGGAAGATCAGCCAGATGTGAGTGCAGTATTATCTGCCTACAATCAACAGGGGGACCCGACGCTGTATGAGGAATACTACAGTGGATTAAAGCACTTCATTGAGTGTTCCCTGGACTGTCATCGAGCGGAATTGTCTCAGCTGTTTTATCCTCTCTTTGTGCACATGTACTTGGAATTGGTCTACAATCAACATGAGAGTGAAGCAAAGTCTTTTTTTGAAAGGTAATTTATTTTCATTTGTGCATTTGCATTATTTTGTGTTTGCTGCTTTGATTAAACCTGTAAGCTATAGTAGCATAGGTTTTTTTATATATATATATATATATGTGTTATTTTTCTTCTTTAATGTTGAAGAGATTTGGAATCTGAAGTAATGGTGCCATGGATTAAGTAACTGTTCTTAAATCCTTTTCCAATCTCCTATGTTAGAAAGATGTGCAAACTACATGCTTTTGAACTGTCCATGGGCAGATTTTGAACCATCTTTATGGTGAGCTGATGGGCTCCTTGCTGCAAAAGTATCAATGAAGAGATGCTGTTAGGGAAAGTTAAGATTGTGGGGTCATTTTTTAGCACTGGAAAATTGCACTGAGATGCCAAAGTAATGTACACTGTAAGTATTTGCTAATGTCATAGCATGTATATTGAAATTCTTCAAATGAGATTAAAGGAATTAATTTATGGCTAATCTATAATTTTTTTGTGCTCTTACTATGTTTCACTTCTTTATCACTTGAGAGGAAAATTAATTTTAATTTGTTTTCTGGATTCAGACCAATTATGAAATATTTCAATCCAAAAGGATAACTTTGTCTCGCTCCAATATGGTCAGCAAAAATGGTTCTGTAAATAGTTAAAATGTTCCCTGCCACAACTATTTGATAACGTGGTTTGAGTAAAAATGCAAAACTCTAGGCATATGTTAGCTATTAGATAATGCAAGTGGAGAATGAGAAATGTGCATATTCATATAATGAATCAGATATAAATACATCTAAGTAGTCTTGTGTAATAAAAAAGGCCCTGTACTTTATGATACCACAAATTAAGGTTTCATTTCTGTAAATAAACATGTTAGTGTAACTGTTTACTTCAGGTGAGAACCCGTTGGGTTTATGAAATTCTGTGAGGTTCCATTTGTGTGTTCTCTTCATTTTATTTTTTAACTGTGAATGCTTTTACTGTATGCAGTAAGTCACTGGTGTATCTTCCCCAGGATGAAATTTATTTCAGCAGAAAAATAATCGCATATGTAGTCAGTAGCTTCCAAGAGGTCTTTACCTATATGTTTCATGTTAAAGTAATGTAAATAAGTATGCACTTAGGAGATAATGTTTTTGTAATAAATCTTTTATTATATCTTAAATTGTTTCAATAGATTTCATGGGGATCAAGAGTGCTATTACCAGGATGACCTGCGTGTATTATCTAGTTTAACCAAAAAAGAACATATGAAAGGTAACGAGACCATGCTGGATTTCAGAACAAGCAAGTTTGTGCTGCGTATTTCCCGTGACTCTTACCAACTCTTGAAGAGGCATCTTCAAGAGAAACAGAATAATCAGATCTGGAACATTGTTCAGGAACATCTTTACATTGATATCTTTGATGGAATGCCTCGCAGTAAACAACAGATAGATGCTATGGTTGGAAGCTTGGCTGGGGAGGCAAAACGAGAGGCTAATAAAGCAAAGGTAGGAGGCAAAGATTGTTGCACTTTTATAATTGAACAAGTCTCCCTAGTTTTTTAGGGCGATATCTTAGTATAGACTGACAATTGTCACTTGAGATCTTAAAAGACAGCATGAACAGGACAAAGAAAAAGAACTGTACAAATAGTTGTTGGCAGGAGTAGAGAGATCAAGATGTGTCACTATCTGGTAGAAAAAACTATTGAACCCCTTTGAGAGACAACCTTGTATTCAGCCCACTGAACTAAACTTAAACTAACTCATGAATTACTCTGTGGTTTTAAAATGGACACCTGACTATTTGGCTTCCTCTTTTGTACAACAGATATAATTCTTTCTTACTGCCAGTTGTTACTGCAAGGACTGTTTGTGTAGATCTTGACAGTGTGGTACTGTAGTACTATACAGATAAATTATGTAAGCTGTAGGGATTCTGCTTTAAGGAAGTGCTAAGAGATGGTGGGAGAACCTACTATTGTCCAGATCAGTTGCTGCGTAAAACAGCAGAACATGTAGTACATTTGTTATGGACTAACCGGTAATGTATGCAGTAATATTAAACATAGCAGTTTTAAAGGGGCAGCTCTATTGTTTGGACTATTACATTGAAAAGTTTGCGTTAAAAAAATTAGTTTTCCCTAAGAACATCAATTACTATTGTCTCATGTGTGTTTTATTGGCTTGCAGGTTTTCTTTGGCTTATTGAAAGAACCAGAGTTTGATGTGCCTTTGGATGATGAAGATGAAGAAGGAGAAAATGAGGAAGGAAAGCCAAAGAAGAAAAAACCTAAAAAAGATAGTGTAGGGTCAAAAAGTAAAAAACAAGATCCTAATGCTCCTCCCCAAAACAGGTACCAAGGGAACAATGTGTAGAGAAGTCTTGTTAAATCCAGTCTTGTCATGCCAAATCTGCATCGCTGTTAACATGACATTTTTAGCATTTTGGCCATTTTAGCTGTACACAGCCTTAGCCGTAAGACTTCTAAGGGAGGTGCTGGAAAGCTTAACATATAACCCTCTGTCTTTGCCCTTCAAGTCAATCTAGATTTCCCTTGATAAAATTTTACTCAGTTATGCACTATTCTTTTCAGGTCATACTCAATTATTTATCTCGTTCCACTGCCTGTCCAAAATTCTTAAAGCTACTGGCTCTTTTTCTCATCAGTTGATCTTTTTCTTTCATTTTTTCTAATTCTTGTTTCGTATTTGAATATTGAGGTATAGGGTTGCATGCAAAGGTTTTGCTTTCTTTGTTTAGATTAAGAATATGGAAGGTGCTTTTAGTTCGTAAAAAATGTGTGCTTCTTGTAGAATTCCTCTGCCTGAACTGAAAGACTCTGACAAGCTGGATAAAGTAATGAATATGAAGGAAGCTGCAAGGCGTGTGCGTCTTGGCCCAGAGTGCCTGCCCTCCATCTGTTTCTACACGTTCCTTAATGCTTACCAGGTTGGTAAAAGAAGAGTTTGGGTAATATGGATAAGGGAATCAAAACTATAAACATCACTCTTAATAAAGAAAGAAGACTTAACAGCGTTGGCAAGGGTTATTGGAGTATTTGGAATAAGCGTTGCAAAGCTTATGTTCCAAAATGTTCAAAATTCTCTTTAAAGACTCCTTAAACTATGTAATTTCCATGTTCTTTGCTTTTGCTCTGATTTTGCCATAATTCCTTCTTTCGCTTTTCCTGTGGGGCCCTAAGTGTATTCTACAGAATGCAGTAGATGTTTTGCACCAAAATACTGGAAAACAGTACTGTTTTGTCACTATTGACTATGCTTCATTCATATAGCTTTATTTTTAACGGTGCAAGAATTTGTGTGTTTATGTCTATGCTAGAATAATTCCTTCTTATTTTTGTAAATAAGTCGAATTAATTTTCTTATTAGTTCTAGGATTTTGTAATATTTGAAATGCATCATGAAAGATACAAACAATATAAATGGATATTTTGTGTATAGGGTCTGACTGCAGTGGATATTACAGATGACTCTAGCATGATTGTAGGAGGCTTTGCTGACTCTACTGTCAGAGTGTGGTCTGTGACTCCAAAAAAGCTACGTAGTGTGAAAACAGCAGCAGGTAATTAAGACAATAACACTTTATACGAGCATGCATTACTTATGATAGCTATGTTTTGCGTGAACAGAGAAAGATGTCTGTGGCAGGAGAGTTGCCTTCAGCAGCTAGATGCTTTCACTTTGAAGGAACAATATGTGCACAGATGTATGATTGCATCTTATATACTACCGTTAGAAACATTTTTAAAGGAATGAGAAATCTGGTTGTGTACACCTGCTGTGAGGTGGTCAGTGCACGGAGCTTGGAACTAGCCATAACTAGCATGGAACTAGCCATCTTGCTTCTTAACTGGATGGTAACTACACGGTGTAGTAGACAGTTGGGTTTAGGTGATTTAAGGGAGAGATTAGAGGTACCCTGGGGGAAATTATAGGAGGGAACTCTGAGAAGGATGGAGGAGAATGTCCTGTAGCTCAACACCTACGCAAATTAATGGAAACTAGGCTTCTTTAATTCTGTTTATGTAACAATGTGTTGCGGTTAAAGCTAGATACCACGCGAACGTTTCTTAATCTTGATATTTAACTGAGATCTGGTCATGATGTTCAGCAAACAGTAACCTACAGACTAAAAGTTATTTTAAGTTGTGTGTATTGTGCAGCTGTAAATATGTCTGTAAAGCGTATTTGTGGCATATTAACTTCCTGGGAAAAGGCGTGAAAATTTGGCATCTCTATCAAGATTATGTTACTGTGTTTGGAGGCTGAACAATATATGTATGAAAAATAACACACGTCAGGATTAATTTATTTTAACTCAGTGAAGACTTAAGAAAGAGTGATTATTTATGTAAAGCATTATTTTCACCTTTTACAATGGTAAAAAATATTTTAAATGCCATTGTATATTTCAACTTACCAATTCCCAGGTACTTTGTCATGTTCACATCATACTTGCCTCTTTTAGAGAGAATATTGTTTGTTTTCCTGTTCATGGTATTTATCTTTGAACTTCTGACAGTTATTATGATACATGAACTTTGAAATATTGCAGACCTCAGTCTCATTGACAAAGAATCAGATGATGTCTTGGAGAGGATCATGGATGAGAAAACAGCAAGTGAGTTGAAGATTTTATATGGTCACAGTGGACCTGTCTATGGCACCAGCTTCAGTCCTGATAGGTAAAATAAGTTTACAAGCTAACTAGTTTGCTTGTCTTGAGTTTTAATTGTATGTTACTGAATGCAAACATGTTCTTAATGCAGCTTTTTCCAGAAGGTTAAAGCAATTTTTGTTTATGCAGCTTTTAAGAAACTGATTGCAAGCCTAAGTGCTTATTATGCTCAGGGTGTTGGGCACTGTCAGCCATTACTGAAATTAACTGGAGCTGAGGATGCCAGCACCTTTTTTTGAGGTTCAGGACTTAGATGGCAAAATAGACCATCTTTTTCGCAATCTGTGGTTTAAGCTGGGTTAACTAACTGAATTGTAGAGAGGAAGAATACTGCAGCATTGATTTCACTTACGGTATTGCAAAACATAAAACCAGACTGAGTAGCATATCGTTGCACTTCAAGTTTCTCATATTCTGTTGAGACTTCATTGTCAAAATGTATGGAATAGTATCTTAAAAGTAAGAGATTTAAAACCATTATGTGATTATGAGAGTCTGGACAATAGAAAGGACGTTTAAATGTCTAAAGTTTTGCTTTTGCATGTGTCTAGTCAGGAAACAACTGTTACAGAAACACAGCTGAGAAGCAAACTTTGTGTGGAACATGAATATAGAGTCTAGAATTATGAATTGAGAATGTGAACATGATATGAATTCTCTTTCAGGGAATCCTGAAATTTTGTTTAGCGTTATATTAAAAGATTTTTCTTTTTTTAAAGCAACACAGCATAGCAGTTTACTAGTCGTTTTTCCATATAACTGGAATTCCTGAGTAAAGACCAGCTCTGTGGTTTGTTCTCCCCCTCCGTCCCCCCAACCCCCCAGTATTGCTGTAAGTGTCACCAGAATTAGTCATCAACATCCAATCGTCTCTCTTTTTTGCATAAGGGCCTAGGACTGGATTCTGCTTGTATTGGTTATTGTTGCTTACCCCACCAAAATGCTGATTTATACGTGATGTGCTAAACAGATGCTGTTCAGTGGACAGTTTTTCTTATCATAGACATCTCACAGTGTTTATGCAATAGTTATACAGTCCTTGTGTAAGTTTGATATGTAATATGCTGTACTTTCTCCTGTGACAGGAACTATCTGTTGTCCTGTTCTGAGGATGGCACTGTCAGATTGTGGAGTCTCCAAACATTCACGTGTCTGGTGGGATATAAAGGACACAACTATCCAGTATGGGATACACAATTCTCTCCTTATGGTTATTACTTTGTGTCAGGGGGACATGATAGAGTGGCTCGGTAAGAAACTGGATGGGTTTTTTACTTGTCTGGGTCAGTTTGTGGTGGATCATCTGATTAGAAGTATTCTCTTCCAGTTGTTAAACAACTTGACAGAATATTCTTTATTTCTCCCTTCTGAAAAGTATACTTTTCCAGAATAGATCCTGCTAATTCAATAAACTGACCAGTAAGAAACCACTGCATAATTACTTCCTTTTATTCCTCATTGTGCAACAGATACTGAATTTCATTAGGGTTCTTTTTGTTAATAAAAAGTTTTTCTTTTCAGTTTGTGGGCAACGGATCACTACCAGCCTTTACGGATATTTGCTGGCCATCTTGCTGATGTGACGTGTACCCGATTTCATCCAAACTCCAACTATATTGCCACGGGCTCGGCAGACAGGACTATACGGCTCTGGGATGTTTTGAATGGGAATTGTGTAAGAATATTCACTGGACATAAGGTAAAGGCATATCACTCACAGTGTGAAAATGATTTTATTTCTGTGATGAGATTCTGAAGACAAGTGTTCAGAACAAATGTGGCTTGACTGACTGAATGTGAGTAGACTTAATTACTTGTTTGGTCCCCCCCAAAATGCCTGTTTTAGGGACCAATTCATTCGTTGGCATTTTCTCCTAACGGACGATTCCTGGCTACTGGAGCAACAGATGGAAGAGTTCTGCTGTGGGATATTGGACATGGCTTGATGGTTGGAGAATTGAAAGGGCACACTGACACTATCTACGCGCTCAGATTCAGCAGAGATGGGGAGATTTTAGCATCAGGTAAAATTCACTGGAAACAGTGAAGTTTCTGTTGTGTTCCGTAAGTCTGAAGAGGAATGATAGAATTGGTTCCTTAAATTGAGGAAGATAAAGTAGAATTGCTTGCTTAGCAAAAGCAGTAACTTAAAACTGCTGGTACAAGGCGAGTACTTCACTGGACTGTGAAGTATGACCCCTCACTCTTCCAGGAACTGCAGGAAAGGTGTTACGCAGTTAGATAGTAGTGAAGGCTGAGGTCAGTGTACAGTGTTAGGGGAGGAATCGGAAGTTAGAAATAACAGAAGACAAGAAGTGGCTGGACTAAAGAGGCACAGGATACTGGAACGGGAGTGGGACATGCAGCAGGACTAAAAAGAAGAGAGGAAGGGATAGAAAGGAAGATGAGTTATCCACGCCCTTACTGTTTCTTCATGGTAGATTTTTGATACAGAAATGTGTTTAATATTAACAGTCAGGTCTATGAGCAGCAGAACTTTGGAAGCCTGCTTGTTTTTCCTGCCTGTCCACATGGATTCTCTGGTGTCTTAATATAGCAGAGCTCCTTTGCCAGTTTTCCCTTCATGGAGGCACAAAGTTTTGTCTCTCCATGTTTAGTGAACTGTTTTCTTAAAATGTATAGAAATTTAATGAATTTGAAACTTGTTCTGTCAACTGGCTGAAATTAGCAGCAAGTTCAAGTTACTGACAGAAGAAACGATGGACAGACACTGTAATTACTTCAGGGTAATTTCTTCTTATATAGAAATATTCTAGATTTATTTAGTAGTATGTTCCTAAATGCAGTGCAGTGAGAATCCTCGATGAGCCACTACTGCAGGAGTGAAAGCTAACAGACAGAGTACAGGTTTGATACAGCTTGCAGGGTGGTTACTTCAATTTATCTACCAACCCTCCAGTGAAAGCACAGGCCACTGGGCCTGCAAAATTCTGCTGTCTTCCCTGTATCAAAGAAACTGTTATTATGTGACTTAGTCATAAACATTTCCTGAAATTGCCATCTAGCCCCCAGGATGGTCCTGCTTTTTCTGTGCTAGGTGATATAATCCAAACCCAAGTATTTTGAGAGAGTAGTTCTTTGTGCTTTATCCACAGGGCATTCAGGTTAGATTCAGGAAAGCTGAAATCATGGTAACTTTTATGTGTGCATTTAGTATGTTAGAGGCTTGTTAAAGTCTGTTTCCTTGCAGGATGAGGGCGTAAGTCTAGAGTTATGAGCAAACCTGCTTTTTGAGCTTTAATTTCTGTAACTTGCTCCCCAGTAATTTTTTTTATATACCTCTTCTATTAATAAAAGACTTCAAACTGTTTTACTTTTTTCTTTTTAGGTTCAATGGATAACACAGTTCGTCTGTGGGATGCTGTAAAGGCATTTGAAGATTTAGAAACTGATGACTTTACTACAGCCACTGGACATATAAACTTGCCTGAAAACTCACAGGACTTGTTACTAGGTACATACATGACCAAGTCAACCCCGGTTGTACACCTCCATTTTACACGCAGAAACTTGCTGCTGGCTGCGGGAGCCTACAGTTCACAGTAAATTGGGAAGCTGTAAGACTGACTGTGCCAAGTCATTGCAGTAGTGACCTCAGGATGTGAGACAAGGAGCAATGTCTTGCACAGGTGCATCTCACTAGTCTGTTGCAGGAAAAATGAAACTATGTGAACTAACGCAAGCAGTCTTTCTCAGTTCTGCTATTTCACATTTATCCACAGTTTGAAAATGCTGGAGATTGACAAGACATTGTGGCTGTAAAAGAAGGAATTGTTCATGGTGCTTTTGATAAAAATATATATATGTATATGAAAATGGCTGTCTCCTCTCAGAGATGGTATTGAGCTCTGCTGAAACTTGCAGAAAGTTAACAGCCTTGGTATGTGTTCTCAAATGGTTTTTTTAAAGCACTTAATTTATGGTTAGCAAATGTTTAATCAATCTCAAACACAAGCAAAAACACTTCAGTTTCAGAAAAGAAGAATGTAGTTTAATTCACTATAGCCTGGGCTGGGCAACAGGTATGGTGAGAGTATCACAGCAACAAACCAGGCATTGAAAGAGTAGGTCCTACAGGCAGAGCCTTGTGGGGAACTGCCATGAAGTTGCATCTGTGGGTTGCTGAAAAGATTTCAAACTCCTGTGCTCCTTTGAGGTATTGGAAACGCAGATCTTGTTATTCTGTTGTCACAGGTAGCCAATGCTGTAAGTGTGATAAGCAACCAGAAGTGCAAGGTGAACCTTACTTACTTTCATACTTTACTGTATGGAAAAAAAAAAAGGGGGGACTGAGGCACAACTGAAATACCCATTATTAAAAAAGCAGACTTAAACCCTTTTATGTTGTATTAGATGTAAAAGAACTTTAAAAACCTGTGTATTATCAGCTTGCTTTTGAAAGGCCAGCTTGTCTACCGAAGTGACAATTTCTACCCACAAAAACATTGTACCCCAATAAGTTCTCCTGGACAACCGATAAAGCTCAGTGCTTTATTTCTAAGGAAGAGTAAAACATGCAAAACACTGGGAAGTATAACTTCTTTCTGGGTCTTTGAACAGAAAATACCACCACCAAAGGACAGGCCCAGTTTGGTGTGGCGTTTTTTGTTTGTGTGGGGTTTTTTTGTTTGGTTTTTTTTTTTTAAAATCTCTTACAAGCTGTATACAGGGAAATCTGTTTTGTGTTCCGTATTACTTCCAGTAAGGGCTTGGACACTTGCACAGTCTGCTGGCTCTCTAGTGAAAATAAAAACAAGACTTTACATTTCCAAGGTAAAGTAAATGGAGAGCTATCCCCCCCTCATCCCTTCTCTGACTCTAACTCTTGGAGTAAAGGTATATTACAGGCATTATACGTCAAAATAAAGGGTGGAAAATTCATTAGGAAGCTCACCTGGAAATTTTCTTTAAGGAAAGAAAGGTTAAAACTAAATCATTATGGGTTTTTTTTGTGTAATGGTACCTCAACAAAACTTCCTAGCTCTCAATATGACCAGTTGGATTTAAGTATAATTATGGTGAATCAAACAAGCATGTACAGTTTTGACAGCTTAAAGAAAACACTGCCACATTCTGCCTCTGTATTTTGTACAGTTTTATACTTTTGATATTATAATAAATACTAAAACCACATAGTTTGTTGTCTATATGTTGTAAGAAGGTATTTCCTTCCCTTGGTGGCTGCAATGGAAGCAAAAGCAATGCTTGTAACAGTGAGCACTCTCCTAAGAGAAACAAAGTAATTCAGAAACGGTAAGTTGATGACTAACCATCTCATGTAAATCTGGTGCTAAGGGTAGGTGATGGGTTCTAGCTAATTAGATCTATTACACTGTTACAATCATTATTCATCTGGAAAGTTGTATACAGCAGAGGCCATTTATGCAAGCAAACTCATAGGAGAGGAAGACGACTAGATTTATTCAGAAGGCCCAGCATGTACAAATGGCTTTAAGATGCATGAACTAGGGTGCAGACCCTGTCATCCCTGTCATTTATGCCTCCTTTTTTTCCAACAACCACACCTACCTCCTGCTGCCCTCAGTTTGGGAAGTGTATTTGCATATTTTGGCATCAGAAGTCCCAGGTTAAGTTCAAGAAGTCCCCTACTTAAGTCATTGTTATGAACATGCAGAGTTATAAGAGCTTAACATCAGCAAAGTAAACTGTTTTCTTTCTGGCAGTTACATCTGTAAGAGAGGCCAGTAACAGAAAAAGCTCAAATACGATAATTTGATCAGTCTTTTTCGGGAGGCTTTCCATCCAAACCAAACAGGTTCTATGCAAAATAGAGACAACTGAGGCAGAAGTTGTAATCTGCATTGTATTAATAATAGTGAAGAAGTCACTGCTTCCATGTTAGCTACTAGCTTGGAATGCAAAAAATGGGAGCAACCAGGTAACTGCAAACCACATAAGCTTACTGTTATCCACTGTGACATGAACGTGGAGATGCTTTGATCAGCTGTAAGCTCTGTGCTGGTATTATGGTCATGCTGCTGAGGTCTTTCCTAGGTTACTACCAGGTGCTCAGAACACTTTAGGGTGTGTTGTAACAGCAGAAGAGTTTAGTTAAGATAGTAATGACAGGAATCAGCTACTCCATCTCCACTACAAATAACTATTTTTGACAGAGAAAAAAGGAGCAAAGTGCCACATTTATGCTTTTTTGCACCATTTCATATTTCCAACAAAACAAGTAATTATTTATATTTTATTAGCCACAACAGGTCATCAGCTTCCATTACACTGACACAGATTGGAGGTTTAGACATGCCAGCAACCTGCCAAGAAAAGAGAGATCAAACATAGCAAGTCTTGTACAGTAGCACTAGTAACCGAGCATCCCCCTTCCTCAAGCCCAAACAATTTCAATTATGAGCAGGCAAATTTCAGCACGCCCAGGAAGAAATGACTGATGTCCCTTTAACATACCACAACGATGCTCAAGCTTATTGTTTTCTACCCCTTTTTGCAGACTATGAAGACGGCCCATAGGTTTTTTCAAAATGCCATTTCAGTGGAAATTTTGTATTTGAAAATGACTCTAGAATGTTGTAACACTTGGTTGTTGCTATACAAGAAGTCCAATCACTTTCTATATGGACCTTGCATAATCAAGTGTGCAAGATACACAGTTTCATTGTATGGGGCTCTTTTTCTCTGTTCAAAGGGGGGTTTTAACAGACTGCATTAATCTCTGCTTGGAATTCTCTAATACAACTAAGTCCTCAAGTATTACTTTATTATTTCAACAACCTACAAAGCAACAGTTATCCCTATTTTACAGCAAAAGGGCAGACCAGAGGCACCTAATAGTTGTAGGCAAAGCCTGATATACCTAGCTGCAACATCCTTCCATTCCTCCTTCCTTTCCTCCCTGCATGATGTCCCTAATCCCATTTACGATGTCAGAAGAACAAAAAGAATACTGGTATCCCATACTTTCTGCATCCCCCTTTAACAACCCACTTCATTCAGAATGCCCCCAAATAAGCTGATGCTATCGTTTAGTTGAGGTTTAAAATGATAAATACAAAGTTCACATGCCTGTGTTTCTCTCTCTCTCTAATTATATTGTATTATTAGCAACTTGTCCTTTGTCACTCTTTTTTCCTGGGCTGGCACTGAATCATTTTGGTCCTGGAAGAACACCAGCCACTTACCATTTACTTATCTGCCACAGCAGGAGTTTTCTTTTTAGGTCTAAGCTTGAAATACAAGATGAGCATTGCAACGCCTGTGTATGTGGCTATTACATACTGGAAAACATAAAAGTTAAGTTTAGTTTCACTCTAAAACTCAGAAACACCATTATACCAGACTACAAAAGTTAATATACATAATACATACATTCCTCCTGCCTGTGATGGTATAGGAATTGAAGTACTTCTGAAATCCAGTGAACTGGTGTTGAGATCCCGAGTCATGGCCAGCCATGGTTGCTTGTCCTAACAAGCAATACAGGACAGTTAACAAGTCCTACAGTCAGTTGGGCAGGAACAATAGAAAAAAGAAACTAATCTCTACACTGAACTTAATACGTCCATTGTCAGCTATTAAATCTGCTTTCAGGACATTCAACAGACAATGAATATACATAAGGAGCAGGCACATTCAGGGCACTGTATTTTAAGGTACAAAACAGGTGACACGAGCAGACAAGGAAATGACGTGTTCTGAAGGGAAGAACATTTATGATTTTCAGCATTCATTCAACCGAATTTAAACATGGAAAAAAAAAAAGTCAATTTGATGATGATGACAAAAGGGAAAATTCCTGAAAGCACTTATAAAGAAGAGACATACCAGTCCTGCCTACACAACCATTCAACACAGGCAAATTTCTACCAATTGTTCAGGAATCTGTAATAACTAATTAAGATAAATCTTCACTAGTTCAGCTAAGAAACAGCTTCAATTACGTACCCAAAAACTTGGTGACAAGATTCAGACTAGACCACTACTCTGTTTTGTGATTCAAAACGCTGCTTTACAACTTTTACGCCATATCAGAGTGCAAGTGTTGTTAATAAGAACTGCCCTGCTCTCAGTTGCCCATTTCTATTGCATCTTACTTGCCCACCGCAGTGTTCACAGATCTAGATAAAAATATACTTTTTTTTCAGTTTGTTTTCAGCTAGATCAGCAAGTTACTTGAGCCAGCTACAAAGCCGCAGAAGTGCTTTCACAGGAAAACCAAAAACACTAAGTACATGAGGGCACACTTTTGTATTTTGTCTGTGTCTGGACCAAAGTTCCAGGTCTACTGTTAAGAAGTTCATTAACACAAAAGCCTGACATGGCTACAGTAGCATACTTGCAGATTCACTGAATGGTTCAGGCTGGCACCTCTGGAGATCACACAGTCAAACCCCAACCTGCTCAAAGCAGGGGCAGCTACAGCAGGTCACTCAGGAACATGCCCAGTCAGGTTTTTAGTATCTTCAGAGATGGAGACTCCACAAATGCTCTGGGGAACCTGTTCCAGTGCTTGATCACCCTTATAATAAAAGGGATTTTCTTTTTAATGTTTAGAGATATATTTTTCTAATGTTTAAGGGGATTTTATGTTTAGGACAAACATTTGTTGTTTATCTTGTAACTCAACTCAAAAGAAGCACACATGCCATATGGATACCTACCAAACCAGGCAGATGCTGTAGCCAGCAGTAGCCCAGAAGAGGGATACAAGAAACTGCTATAGCAGGTGCTATGTTCATTATCACAGCTCTTATGCCAACCCAATCCAGTAATGTATCTCTGGTGTATAATCAGGTAAGCACACCTGTAACTGGATTGACCATATAATAGCTAAAAATGTTAACAAAATAACCCTCTTAAACATCTGCCGTACATGACTTGGAAAGCCAAGGTCATCTTTTCTTATGCCTGACCGATGCAAAAGCCTGGAGAAGAGTCACTGCGTCCTTCCGAGGACGGCTCAGAGCCCAGACATCACAACACAAGTTTTATTTTTCGGAAGAAGCCGGTGCCCTTGCCAGGCGCGGCCTGCCCCGCCGGCTGTCCTG